TTACTTCTTCTTTCTTTTCTTCCGGTACTGCAACTGCTGGTGCTGGTGCTGGTTCTTCAGCTTTAGGTTTTACTTCTTCAGTCTAAATGAATTCAAATAGTATAAAAAATGAATTAGATATGTTTTATTTCTTATACCTTTTTCTTTTCATCTACAGCTGGTTTTTTTGTTTTATCATCAGCAGGTTTTTTTGCTGGTTCTTTCTTTTCTTCTGGTTTCTTAGCTGGTTCAGGTTTTTTCAAAGCAGCAGCTCCAACTGGTTTCTTTTCAGGTGCAGCTGGTGTTGCTGGTTTTTTAGCTAATGCAGCTTTTCCAGCAGCTGGTTTGGCTGGTTCAGCTACAGGTGCTGGTGTTGGTTCAGGAGCAGGCGTTGGTTCAGGTGCTGGTGTAGGTGCAGGTTCAGTACCAATTGGTGCTTCAACTGGTGTAGGTTCTGTTGAAATATTTGTACTTTCAGGTACTTCAGCAACAGCTTCTGATGGAAGTTTTTCTTCAACTTTAGCAGCTGTGTCACTGGCAGGACCTTCAGTTGGTTCAGGAATAGGTGTAGCAGTAGTTTGTTCACTTGCTGCTTGTGATTCAGCTTTAACACTCGTTTCGTCCTCTTGAGCTAATGATGCAACATAGGCATCTTCATTCTCATTTGCTACATGTGCTATAAAATGAATAATCATGATAAAAATATTTTATTTGCTTATATTCTAGATTAAATCAAATACCTTTAACTATAACCTGTGCACTTGAAGTATCTGAGCCTTCTTCATTTGTAGCTCGGCATATATATTCTCCACTATCATCAACTTTAACTTTCTTAATAACTAATGTTGCTGTATAATCGTCGTATGTTTCTTGAATTCGAGATTCAATAGCCAAGGACTAAAGAACACCCAACATGTATTTTAAACATAATTTCAATAATATGTATATGTTTTACCTCGCCATTCTTTAACCATTCAATTTTTGGTGTTGGTTTGCCCTTAACATCACAACGTAATTTCGCTGTTGAACCTAAAAATCAAAAAAATTAATAGAAATAAATGTAAAAATAAAATAATTATTTTTACCTTCGAACGTAGTAATATCAGCAAGTTGTTCACTAAATTTCGGCGGATCTCGACGTTCTTTACGTTCTACAATATATATGTTACATAAAAAATTTCAATAACAAAAAAAATCTTTGTACTTGGTGTTTCAACATCAAGTGTATCACGTTGAGCAGGTTTTTCACCGGCACCTAATTTATCTCGCCAGCTTGAATCTTTGCCCGATGAACGAATAGGTGATGGTGAACGAGCCCGACTTGCACCTCGTGATGTATCACCATCTGGCCGAATCGAATGAGATCGTTTTACTCGACGTACTTCTATATAAAAACAAATTTCATTTTATTACAAGAACAAAAACAAAAGACCGCATACCATCGACATGTATAAAACAAGTTGTTTCATCACTGCCTAATGGATTTGTAGCATAACAACGATACGTTGCAGTATCTGTTGTTTCACATGATGTAATTTCTAATGTACACACACCATGTACATGTGATGTTAGATAATGTGAATCTTTATCATCTAATTGTGTGCGTTCTTTAAACCAGTGTACCTATTTTATACAAAAAAAAATAATAGTAAAATTTGAAAAAAAAAATATATTTTATTATCTAGATTTACTTTTGGTGGTGGTTTACCACTAACACAACAAATTAATTTACAACCAAGACCTTCTTGAATAATACGTGGTCGAAGTTTAAATGTAAATATTGGGTGTGAATCAGGTTCAGCCCACAGATCATCAAGATCGTGAAGAGGGCGTCGTGAATGACTAACATCACGACGTTCAATTTGAGGTGTTACTGGTAAAGCTATTAAAATAAGAAGTAAAATATATACATATTCTTTTATAAACCTATTGATCTTCTATTTTTTTTGATAATTATCTCTCTATTCTTACAATAAGAAGTATATCCATGAGGTCGATGAGTAAATCGTCGATACATTGAACGAAAAAATGATGGTGATTCGAATTTAGTATATTTCGATGACGAATTATAATTATTCATCTCTTATAGAGTTGAAAAATGACGAGAGAGAAATACACGATAAATATACTCAAAGACAACTAACTAAACCGCATGAAAAACAAGAGAATTGTTATTTTGTTACATATGCCAGTGTCGTTTTACTGCATATTGATTCTATTAGAATATATATAAATAAGAAACCATGTCGAGATAATGCCTGATTTTCTTCTTGGCATTGGTACCAGACGAATAATATCATTATTGTACAGACACGCGACTAACAGAACGATCCAAAATATAAAATAGTTTCTATTTTTATTCTTCTCGATAAATACTATATACTACAAGAATATTCTTGGAAAACCACTATAACAAATCAATAAGAAAACAAAACTATTATTAGTATCTATGTCGATAATTATTTTTCTTCATTGTACCGAAAGAAAAAGACAAAAAAAAATCCGAACCCAAATACACATACCATTTGATTTCTACTCTGTAAACAATCTGAATTTATCTTTCCTATGTTGTCTTACGAGACAAATAACATCAGTCAATATATCAAACATTTGTTCTATGTCAATCATTGATAACTCAAAATTAGAAAATAGTTAGACAACTAAAATCTATTGAATTAAATTTTTAACTAATTCATTAAATATATAATTATTTACAGACATCGATTCAATATGGTCAAAGATCAACATAATAAAAAAGAAAATAACATATGTACAACATATGGTTAACATTTGTCCAAAACAAATATGTTATACTTACATTCAACTGTTAAAAAGACTGCATATTCTTTTTCACCATAACTATTTGATGCACGTACAATATATTCGCCTTTATCATCGGGTGTACAACGTTTGATTTCAAGTTTATAATTATTTCTATCATATTTTTTCGAATGTTTTGTTGATTGACGAAGTTCCGCATTATCACGAAACCTAATTATGTTTTTGTTGATAGGAAAAAAAATTAATTAAAATATTTTGAATTAATAAATTACCAGGAAACAACAGGTGGTGAAACAGCAATAATACGACAATCGAATTCAGCATTATTACCTTCTAATACATGAGCATTACGAGGACGAAGGATAAAGCGGGGTGCAGCTTCTCGACGGTCTAAATTATATTCTCATCTTCAATATAATAAAAGAAATGAAGAAAAAAGATTTACCCCAGAAGCTGCTATAAATATTAAATTCTTGAGGTCTATTTTTTCGGAGTGAACTCCAATTAGCCATACGACCGAGACCAATAGTTGGTTCTGGATATCCTGCCTATAGAAGAAAACAAAAAAATACAAGTTTTCCGAATATCTTATTCATTTAACATACATATCGATCTCGGATACGTTGACGAAAATTATCAAATCTACTTGATGGTATACGTGAATCCAAACTAGAATGATCTTCACGTAACCATGGATGATCAAGTGCATCATGAACTGTCATTCGAGCACTTAGAAATAGAAATATATTATAT